CCTAGCACTGCTGGTCAAGCCAGGCTATGTCAGCAACCCACATAAAGTAGAGGAAGATTGGCATAGATGTTAGCTCAGCGAAAGTCTTCCTCAAGCCAAAAGAGAACGATTGACAACAGATGTTAGCTTAGGGCCAATCTTCCCCCAAAAAATAAAAACAAAAATACCCACTATAACAACTCCATAAAAATATGAAATACTTAGGGATAAATCTAAAAAAATATGTGCAAGACCTATACACTGGAGACTACAAAACATTATTAGGAGAAATTTAATTAATTAATTAATTTAATTGAGTTATATCAAGTTCATGGGTTGGAAGGCATAATATTTTTAAGCTGTAAATTCTCCCCAAATTGGTGTTCTGATTTAATGCAATCTCAGTTGAAATCTCAGCAGAATTCTTTTTTCTTTAGCTTGACAAGCTGATTGTAAAATTCATATGGAAGCGCAAAGGATGCAGGATAACCAAAAGCAACTTTAAAAGAGAACCAAGTTGGAGAACCTACACTGCCTGATTTTACTAAAGGTTATGAAGTGATTTAATACTCTATAAAGTTGCTATAAAATGAAGATGTTTCCTATTAAAGCTCAAGTTTCCAGAGAGAGGCTTAAAACCAGTTGTATCACACCCAGTTTGTATGCAGATCCTTCCCACATCTCCTCCCAGAAGCCCACTTCAGTCTTCCTCCCAGGGCTTCTAGCAGCTCACTGTCTTGGGGCCTCAAGGACCCTTCAAAGGTGGCTTCAAAAGTTCAATTCCTGTACAATGGTTTCAAGTGAACTTGTCAGGACCAGAGAACTTATGTTCCAACTGTTCACAGCACTTTTTTCCCCTTAAAATAAAGAACAAAATCAAACTTTAGAGAAATTTAGGGACTATTTGTGCTAAATGATGGAAAATGACCATTGAAGTACCTTACTTGAAACCAGAGGAGGACTTTAACTTCTGAACTTTCATTAAATTTTACTATTCACACACTGCATGATTTTAAGACTTATCTAGTAATCTATAGTAATAAAGATAGTGTAACATTGGCATAAAGATAGACAGATCAATAAAACAGAATAAATTGTCCAGAAATAGATCCATATGTATATAGACAATAGATTTTCAACAAACGTGCAAATTCAATTCTTTAAGAAAGGATTATTTTTTCAGCAAATGGTGTTGGAACAATTGAATATCCAAATGCAAAAAAAGAACTTCAATTTATACTTTATGCCACATACAAAAATCAACTCAAGATGGACCATAGGCCAAAATGTAAAACCTTAAACTATAAAACTTTTAATCTAAGGCAAAGATATCCTAGATATAAAATGAAAAGCACAATCCATAGAGTAAAAACCTGATAAATTGGACTGCATTGAAATTAAGAATTTCTGTCTTTGAAAGACCCTGTTAAGAGAATGAAAAGACAAACTACAGACTTTGCAAAATAGATACCTGATAAAGGACTTGTATCTACAATATATAAAGGACTCTCAAAACTCAATATTAAGATAACAGGAGACTGGTGTCAAGATGGTGGTGTAGGCAGACTCTGAAGTCACCTCTTCCCACAGATGCAATCAATTTACAATTTGGAACAATTACCCCTGAGAGAGAACTGAAAACTGGATAAAAGGAACCCTCACAACAAAGGACGGTCCTGACTGAGGTGGAAGAGGCAGAAATTCCTTTCTGGAGAGAAAAAAAGCCACCTTCACAAGCCACAGAGCTTCATGGCTGGCTGGGAGCAATCCTAAGGTATGAAGCCTTCCCTGAAGGAGTGGGGGACTTGACCAGGGGAACATTACTGCTATAAGCTTCCTTTGGACTCAGCACAACTGAGACAAGTCTCATAATATCTGGCTTTTCTGGCTGTTAACTACAACAGGAAATACCCCTAGAAAAGCTATGGGACATAAGGAGAAAAAAGCCAGCTCTTAAAGGGCCCACACACAAATTCACCTATTTTGGAAAGCAACCTAAAATCACCAGAAAGAAAGGTGCACAATCCTTTGTTGAAAAGAGACTCATCTGATAGGCTTTGGCTGCATCTCAGTGAGAGGTGAGACCTCTCCAGGGACTAAGACATTGGTGGCAGCCATTATTGTGACCTAGTACAGGTGTGCTGACACAGATGCTGGTAGATGCCGTTGGAGTTCTCCTCCTGACCTGTTAGCCCAGGGTCTGCCCCACCCACTAGAGTGCCAATTTAATTTAGTTCAGCCAGAGCAGGCAGCCTGCCCTAGGGACTTGTCCCACCCAACAGCAAGCCCTCGGGTAACTTGTGGGTCTGCACAGATGAGAGCCTGGATTTTCTGCAGGCAGATGAGTGGGTCTGCCTCTGCAGGGCAGGGCATGTATGATGAGCGAGTGGAGTGTGTGTGGCATTGGTGAAGTGTGTTGGGGCCTCCTCAGTGAGGTGACTCTGTCTGCTTCAGGACACACATAGCCCACACAGGGGTCACTCTTGGAACATTTGGAACTGGTGACAAGAGGGAAGCACACTGCTGGGCCTCACAAGGCATCTCTTACATAAGACCACATCTCCAAGATCGAGAGACACAGCTGACCCACCTAATACACAGATATAAGCACGGAGAAAGAGGCAAAATTAGGAGGTAAAGGAATATGTTCCAAGCAAAGGAACAGGACAATACGCCAGAAAAAGAACTAAATCAAACATAAATAAACAATCTACCTGACAAAGAGTTCAAACAAAATGTCATAAGGATGCTCACTGACCTTGGGAGATGAATGGATGAACTCAGTGATATTGTCAACAAAGAGCTGGAAAATATTTTTTAAAAATCAGAAATGAACAATACAATACTGGAAATGAAAAATTCACTTGGGGGACTCAATAGCAGAGTAGAAGAACAGATCAGTGAGCTGAATGAAAGACTAAAGGAAATCACCCAAGCTGAACAGACAAAAGAAAAAAGAATTAAAAAGAACGAGAACAGTCTAAGGGACCTCTGGGATAACATCCAGCACACTAACATTCGTATTATAGGTGTCTCAGTAGGATAAAATAGAGACAAGGGGACAGAGAACGTATTTGAAGAAATAATAGCTGAAAACTTCCTCAACCTGAGGAAGGAAACAGACATAGAGGTACAGGAAGCACAGAGAGCACCAAACAAGATAAGCCCAAAGAGGCCCACACCAAGATACATTATAATTAAAATGTTAAGAATTACAGATAGAGAGATAATCCTAAAAGGTGCAAGAGAAAAGTACTAAGCTACATAAAAGGAAACCCCATAAGGCTACCAACTGACCTCTCAGCAGAAACCTTACAGGCTAGAGGGGAGTGGCACAATATATTCAAAGTGCCGAAAGGAAATAACCTACAGCCAAGAATACTCAACCCAACATGGTTATCATTTAGAATGGAAGGAGAGAGAAAGAGTTTCCCAGACAAGCAAAAATTAGAGTTTATCACCAAGTTATACAAGAAATGCTAAAGGGACTTATTTAAGTGGGAAAGAGAAGACCACAAATAGGAATAAGAAAATTATCCAAAAAAAAAAAAAAAGGCAATAAAATCAGTGGTAAAAGCAAGAATACAGTAAAGGTAGCAGATCAACCACCTATGAAGATAATATGAAGGTCAAAAGACAAAAGTACTTGGGGCTGGCCCCGTGGCCGAGTGGTTGAGTTCGCGCACTCCGCTGCAGGCGGCCCAGTGTTTCGTTGGTTCGAATCCTGGGCGCGGACATGGCACTGCTCGTCAGACCACGCTGAGGCAGCATCCCACATGCCACAACTAGAAGGACCCACAATGAAGAATATACAACTGTGTACCGGGGGGCTTTGGGGAGAAAAAGGAAAAATAAAATCTTTAAAAAAAAAAAAAAAAAAGACAAAAGTACTAAAATTACCTGTTTCAATGATAAGAGGATAATGTATATACACACTCCCAAAAAGAGGTTAGATATGATATCAAAAACGTAAAATGTGGCAGGAGGGGAGTAAAAGAATAGAACATTTAGAAAGAGGTCAAAGAAACCGTGAACTCAATATAGATTGCTATATATGTAGGTTATTATGTATAAACCTCATGGTAATCACAAACAGAAAATTATAATAAATACACAAATAATTAAGAGAAAGGAACCCAAACATAATACTGAAGAATATTATGATAGCAATCTAACAAAAAATGGGCAAAAGACTTGTACAGACATGTCACCAAAGAAGATGCCTAGACGGCAAATAAACCCATGAAAAGGTGCTCAAGGTCATTTGTTGTTAGGGAAATGCAAATTAAAACCACAGTGAGATACCACTGCACACTTATTGTAATGTCTAAAATCAAAAAGACTGGCAGTGCCAAGTGTTGGTAAGGATGTGGAGGAACTGGAAATATCATATACTGCTGGTGGTAATGTAAACTGTTACAACCACTTTGAAAAACAGTGTCAGCTTCTTAAAAATTTAAACATGCACCTATCATATGACCTAGCCATTTTATGCCTAGATATTTACCCAAGAGAAATGAAAGCATGTGTCCATGAAGAGACGTGTACATGAATTCCATAGGAGTTTTCTGTGTTATGGGCACAAACAAAACAATCCAAATGTCCACCAACAGATGAATGAATAAATACATTTTGGTATATCCAACAATGAAACACCACCTAGAATAAAAAGGAACGAGTCAATGAGACACGCCACAGCGTGGAGAATCGCAATATAATCATGCTGAGTGTAAGAAGAAAAGGAAACACAGAGAGAGAGTAAACACTGTATGAGTCCAGTTATATGCAATTTTAGAAAAAAACCAATCTATAAGGACAGAGAGCAGATTGCCTCAGGGCTGGATTGGGGGAGGAAATGGGGTGGGAAGAGGAGGCCCAGAAATGAGGGATTATAAAGAGGCATGGCATACTTTTGGCTTAAAGGATATATTTATTATCTTGATTGTGGTGATGGTTTGATGGCTATATACATACATCAAAAATTTATCAAATTCTGTATTTTAAATATGTATAGTTTTTTGTACGTCAATTACATCTCAATATATCTTTTTTTTTTTTCAATATATCCTTTTTAGAAAAAAAATGAAATCCACAGTAAGGTAACTGCAATTTTAAGAAAAGCATCAACAATAAAAATCAAAGGCCCCAAAGGGGTCCCAGGATGTGACCCTGTAAGATGGCTGAAAAGATGAAAAAAAGGAAAAAAAAAAAAAAGGTAACAGCCTCATGCAATCAGGGTGCTAAGATCAATTGCGGATGCTCAAAAAGACAGAAACCCACTTTGTTGGCATCACCAGTCTTCATGCCCAGAGTCCTCATCATAATGGTCAGCTATAAGAAGTTGTTATAAAAATATATCCTTCTTCTTGTCTTTTTTCAGTTCCTCCAAAATGAGCAAATGAAGGAATGAATGAATGAATACTTGAATGAATAAAAGAGCAATGAGAAGACGATCTTAATGTCATGGAAGAAACTCTCTGATGTACGAGTGAATTTTACAGGTGATCAAACAGCCTCAGTTCAATTTACTTCTGCCTCCAAGGAGGCCACTCAGTAGCAGAACAGCTCTGCAGCAAGGAAAGAGTAGGCCCCTGGGGGTGTCTTCCTGCATGAAAATGCACAGGGTAAGTAAACTGCCGGTGCAGGAAGTTCTGTCCCATGGCCACTGCTGACGTTAGGGAAGACAAGCTCTTTGTCCCAGCATCCTGGGAACTCAGAACACATTGCCATGAGCCTGTAGACTGATCCCAGATGGAAATATTTGGACTTTTAGGGACAGAAAGGGCATCTTGGAATCAACATACAGTGAAAAAAGGATCATTTCCTGGAAATTTTATAAACTGTTCAAGCAAACTAATAATGTTTGGAAAAGGTCACCGATCATTCATCAAATAATAAATTGTGTATTATGTATATATATTTATATAAGTGTATATATAATATATATTATACATACGTGTGACATATTCATACAGTTGTATTTAACATAATATGTATATTATATATAATCTATGTTATAGATTGTATATACACTTGATACAGAGCCTGAGACATGTATGTGCTGCCTACATGGTAGATGCTGTTGCTGAGTCCCCTTATGAAAAGGAGATTATCTGAAAAGATATTTAATCTCGCTTACTTTCGTGAATCCACCAGAGTCCCAGAATGATTAGAGACCTTTTCCAAACATTGTTAGTTTGTTTGAATAATTTATAAATTTCTAGAGAATGACCTTTACATGTGTATAAATACATATTTAATCTTCCCAACAATTCTGCAACATAGGAATTATCATCACCATTTTACACTTCAAGAAACTGAGTCACAGAGAGATCATGTGACTTTTTGAGGTCATTCAACCTATGAAAGGAGGGTCCAGTGTTTTCACTCAGGTCTGTCTGACTCTAGTTGATCTCTCCATCAGCTTCTATGGTATTTCTAGATTTCAGCAAAGCTTTTGCCCCATTCTCTGATCATCATGTATGGCTAAAATAATGGTATGCGTTTGTATGATTGTTCTCTTAGGTGAACTTACAACTGGTTGAGGCATTCTATCCAATGCATTAGTTAAAAATTCTGTGTCTACCTGGAAGAAAAGGGGTTTCACCTGGAAAACCAAGTCTGATTGGCTGCCAGTGGCTGCCCAAAGTCCTTTGTGGGGAAGAATTCTGAAGGTGTATCTGGGCTCAACAGGAAAAAGCATGACGCCTATCGCAATTTTTACTCGAGATGGGGGGAGGGAGGGTCAGGAGTGGCAACAGAGTGACAAGTCATGCCAATTAGCAAAGATGCTCTAAGACCTTAAACAAGTGACATGTCTTTCTAAATGAACTGCCCAGCTCACTGTTTTGCATAATGACTCTCAGGAAGACGTTGAGGACATGCTAATGAAGCATATACATGACACAAAAGTGAGAGGGAAACAATATTTCAGATCAGAGTCTGAATTAAATTATTTTAACAAACTGAAGTGCAGGGCCTAAATAAACAAAACAAAAATCAACAAAGAATGAATGTCAATTCCTATAACCAGGGTTAAAATGATAATAATAGAGCAAGGGTATAAGAATATGAATGGAGAGCCCTGACTTGAAGGTAGTTCATATGAAAAATACTTAAGCTTTTATTGATCCTATGGGCCAACAAGATGACTTGACTGCATTAGTAAAAGGAAATCATAAAGATCAAAGGACATACAAGTCCCATCAAACTCTCTTCTTAGACTAGTGCTGTCCAATAGAACTTCCTGTGATAATGGAAATGTTCTAAATCTGGACTATCCAATATGGTAGCCACTAGCGATTTGTAGCTATTGAGTATTTGAAATGTAGATAGTGCAACTGAGGAGTTAGATTTTTAGTTATATTTAATTTTAATTAATTTAATTTAAATAGCCACTTGTGTCTAGTGGGTACCATGTTGGGCAGCACAATCTTAGACAGCTGACCTTTGTTTCAGGACCTGGGGCATCTAGGGGTGGTCAGCAGGTGTGAATCAGGGTTTTAGGAGGAATGTAGAAAGCTATTTAGCTTAGAAAAGATGATTTAGGGAGAGTGAACTCTATCTTCAAATATCCCATGTATCTATCTCCTAAGAAAGAGGGTCAGACTTCCCTGGTGGCCCCAGAAGGCAGGACCAGGACCAGTGATCTGAAAACCATAGGGAAAAGATCTCTTTCTGATATGTAAGTGAATTTGTGGCACGTTCCAGCAGTGCAAAAGTTGCCTCTTGAGTCCTCAGCTTCCTGACCTATAAAATGAGGGCAGTCATCTAAATCATCCATAAAACTTCTTCCAGTTCTAAAACCCTGTGGTTTTACGTATTGAAGTATAGTATTTTAAAAACATTTTTACTTAATTAACATGAACCGAGGACAAGAGCATCTTCTTATAATAATTTTTGGAATGAATTACGGAAGAAAGTTCACTTCCCTATTTCTGTCTGTGAAGGTCTTGCCAGGAAACAGATGGCACACTTAGACTAGATAATTAAGGAGAGGTTCATATAGGGAATATTTACAAAGTGAACAGGGTTTAGGAAAACCCCCAAAAGACACTGTTGTAGGCCATAATCAGCAAGGGCACAGCGCTGTTACCACTCATACACAGCCAACCCACAGGGACCTGCAGGGAGAACAAATACCTTGACCTTTACTCATCACCCCCCACCCCCACCCCGCCCAATCTCCTACTAGTGCCTCCTGTTGCCCAGACGCAAATTAAAACAAGAGAGCAAGGAAACCTATTGTTACAGTCCATTCAGGACTCCCAGGACACAGAGCAAGATAGAGAAAGGTTGAGTCTGGATCTGGAGGAACAAAAAGATATCAGCACAGGCTACTTCTCTTAGTTAGTTTGAGCTGCATAACAAAAGTGCCAAAGACTGGGTGGCTTAAACAGCAAACATTTGTTTCTCGCAGTTCTGGAGGCTGAGAAGTCCAAGATCAAGGCGCCAACAGATCCAGCGTCTGGTGAGATTCTGCTTCCTGGTTTGTGGACAGCTGCCTTCTTGCTGTGTACTCACATGGTGGAGAGAGAGCTCCTTTCTCTTTCCCTTTTATAAGAACACTAATCCCATCAAGGGAGCTCCACCCTCAGAGCTTTATCTAAACCTAATTACCTCCCAAAGACCACCCCCACTCCTAATTCCATCCCATTGGGGGTTGGGGTTTCAGCTTATGAATTTTGGGGGGACAGAAACATGCAGTCCATAACACTACCTCTTTGTCTTTCAACATCCACATCCAGCTTTACCTTTTGTCTGGGTAAAAAATTTGTGTCCCCAGCACAGGTTACACATAAATTCCCATTAACAAATCTGTCATATGTCAATTTGGACACATTCCTAGCAAAACGTGAGCTACCACCACCAATTTTTATGTAAAGTAGTGGGGTAAAATGGAGGGGAAAGATGACAATTAGTGTACCTAAAACATAGCCTGAGACCTAAGTTGATAACACGGTTTACTTCTTTTCCCATCCATTTCCTGTCCCCTTTCTCTCTGTGAGCAACTCAGTTCTTTGCCTGCTGGGTGATCCAAACCTTTATTCCTGTTGGGTCCTGGGGTCCATAAATAATCCTTTGTCCCACTGTTTCCCCTTGGGAGGTAAGATCATTCATCTCAGTCAATAGAGTAACTCCCTTATCTGTCTATTTATTCATCAACACGAGGAGCCAAAAATGTCCAAGGGAGAGTTTCTACTTCAAATTTAAAAGGAATCATGAATCTGTTTCATAATGGAAGCATTGATCCCTTGAGCACTAGAAGCTTCAGCCTATTGAGTCTTAAGTCTCGGCAATATGAAGCAAAAATTTCCCCAATGCATTATTTGGTGTTACAATGAGATAGATCACTCCCGCTTCCATATCTTGGTTCCTGGACCTGTACATTCTGGTTCAAGGGAAGACAGTACCAAATAATGGATCATATACTACACCATGTATAACAGCATCTCATCTTTATATGGCATTGCCACCCAGCTGATGTAGTAACCAAGCCTTCAGTAAGTAGGCCATTCCACAGTTCTGTCAAGCCAACTGCTTCTGAGTGATGGGGAATGTGACGAGACCAGTGAATTCTATGACCAGAAGCCCATTTCAACACTTCCTTCACTATAAAATGTGTTCTCTGATTAGAGGTGTTGTTGTGGAGTGTTATGCCATAACAATGGATAAGGCATACTGTAATTCCACACCTGGGGTGGTTAAAGGAGCTCTATGAATAGTGATGCAAATTCACATCTGGAATATGTGCCCACCCTATGAGCACAACTCATAATGATCTCCATGATAGAAAGGGTGCAATATCATTAACATGCCCTGGATGACTGGCTGGTTCCCTCCACCCCTCTATACGCATATCCTACCATGGGTGAAGAGGACCATTTGGGGCATTCATCTTTGGCTACTCAGTGCTGGGGATAGCCATATCAGTCTTGGTGAGCCTATGTTTCCGAGTTCATACATAGCTTCCATTCTTACCATGTGGTCACTTTGTTCATGAGCCCACTGAGCAAGCACCCAGTTCTTTGGGGAAAGAGACTGACATCCACAGGGTGCGGAATCTTACCACTCGCTTATTGACTCCAAAATGGATGGTTTCTGGCATATATTTATGTGGAACACAAGTACTTTCACATGTGTGCCCAATCCAAATTATTTCTCCATTTCATTTTCCCCTGGACTTCACTGTTACCAATCTGTCCATTTTCTTCTTTCCTATTCCCTGTCAGCCCATGAATCAGCATAAATGCATACCTCCTTCCATATCAGTTAGATAACCAAAATGTACCACTCAAATTTCTGCTCACGGGAGAATTTTCTCTCCACTGTCATTCAGGGCAAACCAAGTGGTGCTACAATGCAGCAACTGTCCCCTTCTGGCTACAGCCAGCCTAGGGTGAAGATCTGTCTGTAAACCAAGCCCACAGTTTCCTCCTTCCTGGCTACAGGAAACTACCCATGAGGTCAAAAGTGCGGACTGAAGGAAAAGGGGTGAAAAAATTAAAGTATCATGTGACTCTAAGCCACCTGTCTTGCAGTTTATTCATGCCTTCTAAATCTGCTGAGCCTAATCTCGTGCACTCCATTTCCACTTCACAACAAATAGCTGCTGTGCACATCAATTTTAGGTTCAGAAGATCAGACAGTGCCCAGGTCAGGATGGACAGTTTGAGTGGGCTACTTCTCTACTGGGGGCTGTAGCAAGCCAGGAGTTAAGTTTCAAATGTAGAAGGGAAGAGGACATAGCTTTATTCCTCAAGCACCCGGGTCTGCACTGTAACTTTTCTATTAGGGTTTGCCAGAATTTCCATCCAACATCTCCATTTGCCACAGATATGTTCAATACATTGCTGTGTGGCAGGGCAGCTTGCATCACAGCTTGGATCTGCCAGTCTTTTCTTGCTCTGGGCCCAACTCAAAACTGGTGGGTCATGGGCCCAGCCAGGTGGCGTAGTGATTAAGTTCACGTGCTCTGCTTCGGCGACCCGGGGTTCGCAGGTATGGTCCGGGGCATGGACCTATACACTGCTCATCCAATCATGCTGTGACAGCACCCCATATACAGAGTAGAGGAAGACTAGCACAGATGTTAGCTTGGGGACTATCTTCCTCAAGCACAAAGAGGAAGATTGGCAACAGATGTTAGCTCAGGGCCAATCTTCCTCACCAAAACCAAAAAAAACACTGGTCGGTCATATAGTACATAGTTCAAATCAGCCCACCCAAACATGGTCATCTGTTGCTTCCCAAACCCAAAGAGGTCCACTAGATATAGTGTCTCTTTTTTCATGATGGGTAGTACAAGATCCAGTAACTTGTCTTTCATGCTCCAGATCACCAGATGCTTAGAAACTTAACCAATGTGGTAGTCCCTGAACTTTTTGGGGTAAACCTCTCACTGTCTAGGCTGCTTGTTCCTTTCTGCTCACTAAGTCCAATTTCTCTAGCGTCATCAATGCAACGGACCAGCTGACGTTCTATAAAATATCGAGATGATCAAGGTTTCTTTGGACTATACATGACACAGAGTAGAATTGGCACAGCCTTGAGAAAGGACAGCAAAGATATGGTGATGACCCTACTATGTGAAGGCAAACTGCTTCTGATTGTCTTTACTTGTAGGGATAGAAAATAAAATATTTGCTGGGCAAATAGCTACCTATTAGGTGCCACGGGCTGTATTAACTTGTTCCAGTAAATATACTATATCTGGAGCCCCTGAAGTAATTGGCGTATCCACCTCATTAAGTGCATAACAATCTACATTCATTCTCTAAGTCCTACCTAAGTTTATCATCTGCCACAGAGGGGAATGAAATGGGGACATGTACCAATCCCCATCTCTGAATCATTTAGGCTTACCATTGGTGCCGCTATTATTTTAAATTCCCCCAGAGACAAAGTATTATTTTTTATTTACTATATTGGGAGGGGAAGTCTGGGGGTCTTTACTCCATGGATCAGGGAACTAAAATGGGGATTTTGTTAATTATTAAGTAGATCTATCCTCATTATGTTTTAACAGGTTTTATTATTATTTAGATGTGGTAAGGCCAACCGACCATGAGATGACTGCCATTAAAAAGACAGTTTGTTCCTCACAGGTCTTCAGAGGAAGGGGCCGCCATGCTATAGGGAGGCCATAGAGGGAAGCACTGGCATCAGTCAGGAGGCAGAGGGAGAGTGAGGAACTGTGGACAAGAGTCTTCATTGTGGTTTCCATGGGAAGAAACAGGGTAGCAGGCTAAGGACTGGCTAGCTTGAATAATTTCAGTGGGCTCGGGCATAAGAGCAGCCCCTCATTGTCTGGTACCTGGTGGCCCTGGGGTGATTCAGGCAGGTGGATAGTGGTCTGGAGTGTGAAAGCCCAATACAGGAGGTGAATGGGGGTATGAACTCTGGATTGGTTAGTTTGTGTTTGGGAAAGTGCCTCTGGGAGGAGGACTCCTCCCAGGGAGAAGCCGAGTGATGAGGGAGGCAGGAAGCCAAGGCAAGGTGACTCAAGCATATTATGGGGTTGTGCAGACAAGGCATGTCTAACATATGCATGCAGGGAGCTGTAAAGCATCAAGTGTACAGAAGCTAGAAACATGGTTAACATCCATGGAAACATCCTGGGAGTGGGGAAAGAACATCGCACTTGTTATTCAGACCCACTAGACCCACTGTGAGACAGACTTGGAACAAGACTCCATGTAGCCCCCAGTCTTTGTAAATCCCCACTCCGCCCAGTGGACCATGCTGGCATTTCAGGTTTCCAATGAGTCAGTTTAGAGCCAGTAAGTCTGAGGAGGCTGGGTTACTGCCACTTCTCCAGTGCACGGTCACCTTGGTAAAAGGCCCCCATTTCCGTCTGGAGATGCCTTAGGACAATATTCAAAGTCTATACCTCTTGAAATGCTGCAAGTCCTTCCTAAAGGGACCTGGCTTCCTTGTCATTTTTATTTTTGTTCTGGTCTGAACATAGGAGAGTTGGTCTAAGCTTTCCCCGGACTCATCATGCAGCTTGGGGTATATATTCGTGCCTAGTTTTCACTGGGAGAACACATCTCCTTTATGTGCCTACCTAAGTGTCGCTTCTCAAGTTCCTTTGCCTCCTTTACCAGACCTCTGTATGTCAGAAGACCCCAGCCTTCAATCCTCACACCCCTTCTCCTCTACATTCCTTCTCCAAATGATCTCAACTAGTGTCATGGCCTCAACTGTCATCTGTATGCTCGCGATTTTTAAATTTCTCTTTCTCAGATCCCTCGCAAGCTCCAAATCCACATAGCAAATTGGCCTACTTCACATTTCCATGAAGATGCTCGAGAAGCATCTCAAATTTTTTCTGGCTAAAACTGAAGGATTCGTTCACTCATCTCCACCCTTTATCCACTCCCTCACAAGTAAATAACACCACCATCCATCCAGTTGCACAGGCTAGAAAGAAAAGGAGAAATTGTTTAAAATTTTCCAATGGTTGCCAATTAAATAGAATAAAATTTTTAAAATCCCATTAACATGTCCTAGGCAATTCTACCTGATCTGGCGCTTCCTACCTCTGAGATATCGCTCTCCAATACTTCCTCATTCACACTATTCCAGCCCCACTGGCCTTTCTGTTTCTCAAATTCCTCCCTGTCTTGGGCCATTTACACTTCCTGGTCCTTCTATTTGGGAAGCTTTTCCTTCAAGCAACCAAAGTGGGGATGCTGATGATGCTTAGGTATATCCACCCCACTTATGTATTCCTGATATGCTTGGGGCACAGTGGAACTCCAAGAGGGAAAAGAAGTGGGCTAAATCCATGGGGAACAACGCCTATTTCTTAATCCATCTCCTGGCCCAAACAGCTCTGCTCTCCGCCCCCAACTTGTGCTTATGTGTCTCCTTTGCATCATCCAGATCATTCAGTTCTCAGCTTACATTTCACCACCTCCCGGAGGCCTCCTCTGACCGGCGTGGCTCAAACAGCCCTCAACGCAATTCCACAGCCCCAGACACAACTGATTATCTTATCCTATTTATCATCTTCATATCATTTGTCAGAACCTGCAATTATCTTTGTAATTCACATGTTTCCATGTCTATTGCTTACACCCCCGACACCTTGTCTCAAATGTAAAGACTCTTGAGGGCAGGGATTGCACATGTCTCTTCTCTCAAACTAGGAGTCCCTGATGTGACAGCTGTAACAGGTATGTGGAAAAGAGCTATTACTACTAAAGTGCAGAGAGCCAGAGGTGTACACGTTTTCCAAAAATTTCAATCATATTTCCCATTTGGGGGAAAATGACTCTGAGGCCTTTTCTCTTCCAAGCTCTTTTAGCGCTCGAAGATTTATCTTGCAATACTTAGAAGAAGTAGGCTCGCTAAACAAGGAAAAGACAGATGAGACACCAGGCGGTTTGCATTATTAGACTGTAGACTTTTATTAGAACAAGCATTTCTCACAGCTGTAAGCAAAGCGCTGGCATTCATCAAACTAACACATCTTTTCTTGGCCACACGGAGGGCTGAAAAGGGAGAGAAAGCCCCCTCCCCAGGGACAGGATCGTAGAGCAAAGCATTTCAGGGAATGATTCATTGAGGCTACAAATGTTTGCAAATTTTAAGGCACTGGAGGGCAGAAGGGCATGTGAGGCGGGACAGGGCGCAGAGGAAGGCTTTCCAACACGCCCTGTCCTGTCCGACAGTCTCCCAGCTTCCAGGGCAGGCAGCCAGGCACAAGAAGGGTGAGCACAGTGTATTCGTTATTCTCATTCAGACCCCAAGGGATCCAAACAATTTCATAGCTCTACGCCCACCACAACTTATTAGAAGATAAATTACATGTTATCAACTTGCCATTGCACTTCCTGTAAATTACACCTCAATAAACGAGATTTTTATGAATGCCTTTGTGCTTGGGGCACTTCAAAGAGCCACTGATGTGAACCACAAAAGAACTGCCTGATTTGTTGGAAGCATTTTTGCTGTGACCCCCAGGGTCGACCACATGGGGAGAAATTACTTTTTAATACCCAGTGGACAGGACACTCCGGTGCCCCCGAGGCCGCAGTACCCGTCGGGGTTCTTGCTCAAGTACTGCTGGTGGTAATCCTCGGCGTAGTAGAAAGTTTGTCCCTCCCGGATGTCGGTCGTGATCAGGCCATAGCCGTGCTCTGAAAGAACCTGTGGAGACAAAGGCACCGTCAGGACCCTATGCTGGCAGAGATTGTCCGAAGGAGGAGGGACAGGCAGGTGGGGATGCGAGGGAGGCAGACAAGGGTGGCTGGGGACATGCAGTGGGTCCTTGTGGGCCTGGGCTCTGCCACTTCCCAGCTGGGTGATTCTGGGCAAGCTTGTATGTTCCCTGTGATTTAGCTCAGGAGGCTGGGGTTGAAATCAGGTTTTCGACCCTGCAATTTATGCTCTACCCATGACACCACCTCTGCCCCTGGTACGTGTTGGGAGCCCTGGTTTGGGCCCTATGGGCTGTGAAACTGGCCCCAGTGCTCTCCCAGGGGAAACAGCAGGACATGTGGCTCCCTGGCTGCCCTGGGAAGAATGGGTGTCCCTGAGAGCACTCCAGCAGAGCTGCGGTGGGAGGGGACGAATGGGCAGGATGGGGCAGGCAGGGATGCAGCACCGCCCAGAGCTGTCCCCTCTGCTGCCAGCTCAGGAGCAGACCCCCTGTCCACTCACAGGCTGGACAGAGGAGCCCCCACTCACTCCTTGTGGTTCTAGGGAGCAGGGACCCTATCAAGACCCCCTGGAGAGCAGGGGGCTATTTGGGGCCTGGGCTCTGCCACCCGAGGCCCAGGAGCCTGGGGAGTGAGGTCAGGGGAGGAGGTGGCCTGAAGGCCCGTGTCGGCTCATCGCCACCCTCTGTGACCTAGTTTAAGGCCTGGTGGCATCTGCTACCAGGGAAAGAAACAGACACGTAAACACCAGTTGGGGGAGGAGAGCAGAGCTATTTGGGGCGGGAGACAGATTAAGAAATAGACATTGCTCCCCATGGATTTTAGCCCGTTCC